CTTTGAGGAGGTATTCATTTATAGAAGGAAGATACACGTTAGCTGTACAATTACAAGTATGGAAATAATTATACAAGGAAAACAAATAACTACAATTGTGGAGAATCACTGATATCTCGGTCATAATCAGAGGAATGGGATTGTCCTCTAATAAAGAGAAAACAGACACCACCTCGTTCGTTCTGTGCAAGTTTAGGTAGAAGAGGACAATTAGGAGACGAAAAAGAAAAAGGAAACAAAAAGAAAAAGAAAAAAGAATTCATATGTAACAGCCCTTTGAAAACGTGTAGAACAAGTGTAATACCCAACAAATGGGATTACATCAAATGTAAATTTAATAGTACCAAGTGTATTTAATTTGACTCCAAATGATTTATGAAGATCAAAACAAAAAATAAAAAGTATTTAAAAGTGTGAAGACTAACTTACCTCTTTCATATTACAATTGTTGTTAGCAATACAAAAAGGGAAAAAAAAAAAACTTACAAGTCAGTTGGAACACCCAAGTGACAAAAGAATTTAAAGCAGGGGTGAGAGAAGAAATTTTAATACACCGAATAACATATTTCTTGAAAATGAGATGAAACTGTCACATAATCTTCTATTCCTTGTATCCGATTTCGGTAAAGGAATATTTCCACGCCCCATCTTGGGGTTTAGATATACTCGAACAGTCCTTGAAGGCACCACTTGTTGATACAAAATCTTGGGGGCTTGTCGAGTTGAAACTAGCAATCCATGATTTATTTCTGTCTTTTCATAAACCGTATAACCCTGAGTGCTTGAAAAGTCATCAATGTCTCCATCCAACAAGAAGTTGTCAGTTGCATTTTCATTCACAATTGACATATCATTTGGATCTGTATAATTGAAATCGCTGTCCATGTTTTGTTTGTTGGTTCCTCCTGCAATGAAATGTTTTTAATTTGCGAGTAAAGTTAACGTGAAAAAGAAAAAGAAAAAGAAATAAAATTTACATGGCATGACGATGAAAATGCTTAATGATTAATGATAAGTTGATTGTAATAAATGAAAGTGGCAAACCTTGAAAGTCATGGAAATTGGAAATATTTTCCACTGGAACTGTCTTGTATTCCTCATAAAAGGTCTGTCAAGGACGAAGAATACCATAACTAAAAGGTCAGTCAAGCAGTCTGAAATTTCACTTCAGAATATGAAAGTTAGTGGCAAATTATACTGCTATAATAGTCTAATTATCTTGACACTAAATATACATTCTTACACCTTTCCTTGGAAGTCAATGACTATTCATTGTCTACCATAGGCTTTTATGATAGTAATAGTTGGGGGGTGGGGTGTGGGGTAAGAGGCAGTCGATTCAAGGTATTTTGAAGGTAAAATTTATAGATGTTCTTGAATTAAATTTTAGTAGCACAAATAAGGTTACCTTTTCAAGCTCCTTGTTCGACATCCCCACCCATCTTAAGTTCTCAACCATTCTATCTGATGCGAACACTTCATCCTTTTCTTCAATTTTGATGAACCTATGATTCGGTTCATCTCTTAAGTTGTCCATATATTTGAAGGAATCCATACCATGTATTTGGTTATTGTGGGGCGCCGGAAAGGAAAAATCCTCAGCCGGAGCATACATTCTGCCCCACGTGTCTTGATTTTGAAGTTCATGAGAAGCTTGAGCAACTGAAAGAATTTCCTCCAATATATCTGTAGGTTGGTTTGTATTTTCATGAAAAGCATTGGAATGTGACAAACAAGACTGGGGGAAATCCTGAACCTCCAATTGTGGAAATGTAAAACGATGTTGTAACCTTGCACACTCTAATGCTAAATCGACCTGAAAAACATAAATTTGAACAAATTGTATTGACAAAAATATATACGAGTAGTTGAAAAGGATTCGTATATATGTTCTTTGCTCAATTCTAAAAGCCCATTGTCACACAAGGGCTCATACTATGCTAGATTTGAAATTCAATCTCTTAAGATGAACAGATGCAAGGTCTCACATGGCCACATTCTGCTTATGGATGAAAAACTGTATCAGGTTATGAGTTCAAGTAGCAGCCTACTCTTTAGGAAAGTTGTGCGGGTGTCAAAAATAAATATGGTCTAATTATAATTTACCCGTAAGGCTGAAACTTCTTACCTTTGAGGGTGTATATGATGTTGGTTCACAATGGGAATATGGACTATTAATGAAACCAACTGCCTCTTCTGATAAGTACTGTGTCCATCTTCCATCATTTGGGTCATTTATATTCATCTGAGAGGCATTGGTGGCACTGGATGAGCAGGTTCCTGATGGCATTGGATAGTCTGAGCTATCTAAATCACCACATTTTCCTTGAGAATACAAGTCGATGCTGGAGGATCGTTCACTGTCAGTGGTCGCATGTTTGTCCCCAATTTTCAAGCCATTCAAGCTCTTCTTGAATACACGGCAAAGTGCGTAAGCATCCTGGAGAAGTCACTCAAGAAACCATTTAGTTTTGTGACATGTTAAGAGTTATATACTGTAATTGAGAAACACTGAAACCCACAAGACTAATATGTATAGATTCTTTATCTGAAAGTTAGACGGAGAAAGACTCTATATATAGGATTAAATAAATTATCAATGGGATCCAGAAAGTATCACTGCAGACAGCAAAAATCTGCCTTAACAAGAATAAAAGTTTATATTATGAGATAAAACAAGATTGCACCTGCAAGCCGTTGGCATTTTCACATTCCCTTTCATCTAAGCGATATTCGTGCATAATCCAACCAGTTCGAGTTCCATGAGGTGCTCTACCTCCGTAGTAAACTAGGGTTTTCTTCATCCCAACAGCCCTCATCTGTGAATTCACCTTTCTATCTTTTCCAGTGGCCTTCCAGTATCCAGCTTTTGTTGCACGATTAGTCCTCGACCCATTTGGATACTTACGGTCTCGAGGACTAAAAAAAAACCACTCGAGATCTTTGCTTGGCAATAATGACTTCCCTGTGCAATTAAAATTTTCAGTCATCAGTTGTATTGTTATAAGACCATTGAGCAAAACACATACAGAAAAGAAATCGATAATTGGATAAATCCGAACCAAAAAGACAATACAGAGATTAGTTGACAAGAGAAGTAAATGAAGATGATTTTTTCTTGACGATTTCACGTCTGAGTATCAGAAAAAAGAGATAAAGGTTGGGTAATATATACGGAAAACAGTTCAATCATATGTTTTTCTTTGCTTTTTGACTGCATCTTGATCTCTGTGATTAATGATCTTTATCTTAAAGGAAAAGTGAGATCATATATTATTAACTGATTAATTGTGTTCAAAATATATAATAGCTCATGTTCATTCAAAAAAAATTGTTATACCTTTCTTGATCTTCACTTTGTTTTCATTCATATTGCATCTCTAATTAGATAAATCATTTTTCAATAACTATCCAATAAAAAAAAATTCAAGATATGTATTAAAAAAGAAGAATACCTGGCAGGTCCCATGGCTCACACTTATAGAGATCAACTTCAGGAATGATTTCGAGCTCAATCCTATGCCCATTGATCTTTCTCTTTAGATAATACGCCACAAGTTCTTCATCAGTGGGATGAAAACGGAATCCCGGAGGCAATGAAACAGGTGCCATCTCCCTTTGAAACCCTCGAAAAATACGGTAATAATTGACACCACCCCTCCTCTGGAGTCCAACTGCAAAAGATTCATGCAAAAAACCCTAAAACAAATTAGTTGCATAAAACTAACAATATCACAGAAACATACATTCTTGAAAATTCCATATCGACCAAATGCTTCATGAATCGAACATCATATGACATCGAACGTGTGGGTGTTTGTGTGTGAGAGAGAAAGGGAGAGATCTTACGAGATCCAAAGAAGGGAAAGAGAGAAGCAAAAGAGAGAGGGAGATTGAGAACTATTCTTGTATTGATATATAAGAGAACAAAAAGAGATGCGAAAAGCAAATTCGAAGCTCCCAACCCCACACACTTTTGTCTTTATATTCGTTTTTCCGCATCAAATGTTGCTTTATTTATCTTTCTTCTCAAGCTCTGTACTCTCTCTCTCTCTCTCTCTAAATTCTTTCTTCTCAAGAAATAATATGGGTGATCATAATAAAGATACATAATCTCTCTCTCTCTCTCTCTCTCTCTAATTATCCAATGCTTCGAATTTGTCCTTTCTTGGAATCTGAGCTTGCCGCTTCCTCGTGGTAATACGTCATCAGATGCATTTTGTGTCTCTGTTTAAAGAATCATTTCTGCCAATGAAAATCTCTATTGGGAAACGAATTGGCGGCTTTCTTAACTATCAAAGAATGTTCCTTTCACATGCTAATTGTATGCGTTCATTTACACTCCATTAACAAATGTGCTCATTGTCTCTTTCAAGAATCCGTTTTTTTTCTAGGCCTTGTTAGGGTTGCATAATTGAGGTCGTAATATTACCCATGTATTCAGTCATGGACCGCCAATTGAACGAAAAAAAAAAAAAAAGAAATAAAAATTGAAAATTACTGTAGAATGAGAATGAAAAATATTGTCATTATTGAGGCTCACATAAGAGATAGAAAATTTGAATTTAAGAATCATAATAATTTGAATCAAGAACACCATGATGTGGTTGAAAATTTTGATTTCTTCGAACACATAAAGTGTATGATTGGGACACACTCTATACGAGATGCTGAAGCTCTACTCTAGCTCTAAGGGATGGATTGGTTCTAGATAAGGAATGTGGACAGGAGATTGAATCAGACGAGTGCGACTCATTGTGAGCAGCAAAGCATAGAGTCGGACTTTTGTTCTACCCCCAAGTGCCTCTTCTTTATTTGATATTTTAGCACCTTTTAGGGTTGTGAGTTGCGGCTCATGTTGCTTTATTTCTAGAGACAGAAATAGAGTGGTCCTTGAACTTGCTTCTTTTGCTAATTTGAAGCTGGATTGTATTCTACCTTTTTTCGTCGGCTATTCTCTACGATCTAAGCTGACAAAATATTTGTTTTTGGTTTAAAAAATGTAAAAGAGAGCGAGAGATCTTGATAAGAACTATTGCAGAAAGAGTATTCATCTAGTTTTTTATATGAGTTTCATTTCATAAAAAATGGGTATATATGGGATTAGCCCTGCACTAGCTTGAAACAATGGACCCTTTCTGCTTTAGTTGTAATAATTATAATAACTCAGTTCGATTTTTTTGCATTCATACCAGAGAAGGATCTCATTGGGGGCTTCCTTTCGGCAAGCATATCCATTTGTGGTTGCAATGCACAAATAAAGCCAAGATATGGACAAATACCAAAGTTTTATTAAGATCCTCCAATATATGTTCAAATGTCCTTTTATGTAGTCCAAGTGAGAACACTCTTTGGCACTTTGTTTTCCTCTTAATAATATTCAAAATTAGTAAGAACTATTAGCACTAAGATCAGTTGTATATGTAAGATATCGATCGAGCTTGAGCATTTCAATAATGGGGCTAGTGGAAAAATGAAAGACCAAAAAAATGCTCTGTGTTTGAGCCTCGTTAAAATTAATTTTTGGCCAATTTTATTTTCTACATCTGTGGGGGCCATATTGATTGAATTGTCGGAAATTATGAAAAAAACACATCCATAGCTGACTTTTGGAGAAATTTACGGGTCCAAGAATATACATTCCCAATTTACCCTTCAAATAAAATGGTGGAAGTTTAATTAAAAGTGAAGGAATGGGAGGGTTATTTCTAGAAATTGGTTTTTTTAAAAAGAGGGTATTTTCGACATTTTGAATTTCAAGGTTTCTGCAACAATTAAAATGCTAAACAATACACTGTGCACTTCGTAATTTTTTAAGAATTAGGCCCTGTTTGATTGACAAGATTTTTCATGGAACTAGGAAAAATTTTTCCGTTTTCCACTTTTTTGCGCTGTTTGATAGTCTAAATTTTCCACGGAAAATATTTTCCCACTTCCTCCGCCACGTCAGCTTTTTCCCACTTTTCATTGAAAATATTTTTCCACCTTAGGTGGGAAAATATTTTCCAACAAAAAATGAAAGACCAAAAAAATGCTGTGTTTGAGCCTCGTTAAAATTAATTTTTGGCCAATTTTATTTTCTACATCTGTGGGGGCCACATTGATTGAATTGTCGAAAATTATGAGAAAAAGACATCCATAGTTGACTTTTGGAGAAATTTAAGGGTCCAAGAATATACATTCCCAATTTACCCTTCAAATAAAATGGTGGAAGTCTATATTTAAGGAAGTGTTTGACACCAATTTTAATGGGTTGAAAATTTTTGGACTAGTGATTGATGGGAAAATGTGTGGTGGAAAAACGATGAAAAATTTTAGATTTGTGTGTAATATTATTTTATTTAGAAATTGTGTGGTTGAAATGGAAAACGAGAATGAGAATTAAAAAGAGAATGGGTGCCAAACATGGGCTAAAAGTGAAGGAATGGGAGGGTTATTTCTGGAAATTGGTTTTTTTAAAAAGAGGGTATTTTCGACATTTTGAATTTCAAGGTTTCTGCAACAATTAAAATGCTAAACAATACACTGTGCACTTCGTAATTTTTTAAGAATTAATGTACTATTAAGAAATGAGAAAGCTCATTAAAATTGATTTTAATGAGATTCAAATAAGGGTAAAGATGACAAGACAGCCCGAACATTTTCCTTCATTGCGGCTTAGAATGCTTGACTTACCTTGAAACTATTTTCCTTCTCGTGTTTTTATAAGCTTTGAGATCAAGACACTTTCATTTGTGAACATATATATTATTTCATTGCAAGTTGCAAGTGCCAAAGAGTATTGTTGAACAAGTTAAAATAGTGTATAGAAACTACAATGGACAAGAAACCCCATAAAATCTTATGAAGGAAAAGCACAAAAAGATGGATTCAAGAAATGGAAAAGTGTGTAGGGTGGTGGGGTGGATTGGGGGTTTGTTCCAACCTTGGAACTCTTTATTTCACGTGGCAAAAGTAGGCCCCATATTGATGAGTTTTGGATCGAGCTTTCTTTCTTGATTCCAAGACAAATGTTCTTTTCCCGTGTAAATAATGTATTCAATTGTGTTAATTAATTAATTCATGAACACCAAATTGGAGCTTTATTCTCGCAGTGGTTTTCAAGTCATCTAAAATCGATATTAGAGTTCACATTTGGTACTAGTGTGTCTTGTGTGTGTGTATCAACAAGAAAGAAATTCAGTGTGTGTTTGGGAGAGTTTATTTGAAGTGAAAAATGATTTTTTTTTTTTTTAAAGAATATATGGTTAAAAAATATGAAAGAATTATAAAAGAATATGTGATTGAAAATAAGTTTGAGAAAAAAATATTTTCAAATAAGTTGTGCCAATCAAACGCTATGATTTTTTTTTTTTTTTAAGAATATATGGTTAAAAAATATGGAAAAATTATAAAAGAATGTGTTATTGAAAATAAGTTTAAGAAAAAAATATTTTCAAATAAGGTGTGCCAATCAAACACTTATTTTAATATATTTAAGGTGTTTCCTATATAGATTTAAATCTTTTTTTCTTAATTTATATGGCATTTTCAACTTCAATAGAGAGATTTACACAATATTATTAGTAGCAACAAATCTTGACAAAAATATAAGATGGAGGAAAGCAAGGAATCATTGAAGACAATTGATCAAGATGATTGATGATTATGATGATGTGCTTAATTTTAGGAATTGTTATTTATCATTACATATTTAGTTTATTGAGATGTACTATATATTGATTTTTAAAATTACAACTCTCATTTCTATCATAACAATCAATCATTTGAGACAATAGCCAAAAGAGATGAACAAGTGTCCAGGGAGACTCTAAATGATAGATGTTGACCTTGATTCTCACGCGGATGACGTGGTCAATAGATCCCGATTCCACTCACATTTATGCAGTCTTCTTTCTGCACATTTGAACAAACCGTTAAAACATGTGGCCTTCTCCGGTGGTGGGAAGGTAGCTGTGACCACTCCGACGGTCAAGTCAATCTATTTGAGAACATTTAGTTGGGTGGGGAACGTTCTAAAGACATGAACCATAGAAAAGGGATTTGGATAGGGGAGTATGTAGAGAGAATAATGAGAGAACGAAGTTATTGTTAAGTGTATAAAATTGTAGACACCGAGTGTTCAACTATGGTTTGCATAAAATTCATCTGGACTCTATATATTCTACCATCTGGCTCATTCTTTTTTTGGTGCATTTTACATGGTAAACTGTCAACCCATTAGTTCCAACTTCGGAGAATTCAGCTGGCCTTTTTTTTTTTTAAATTGGTAAATGTGAATTCTATTCATCAAGACTCGTGTACAAATACAACGGGCAAAACAAAATAAAAAAGATGTACTAACAAGATAGATCTATCGACCAAACGCTAGAGACTTAAAATGAACTAAAACATTAGAATACAAAGAGAACATGATTTTGTATACTTGCGTTTTAATCCATCTCACTATGCTATCATTACATGGCTTAAGATCCTCAAAGATCATTCCATTCTGCGCCATCCAAATTTGGTAAATCGTGCAAGCAAGTGTAATTTTCTTGGCTTTAGATTGCCAAGATGTGCCTCGAGTTTCTTTCTTCATCCACTTCAATCCGCTAAGTACTATTGTCATT